AATGGTTTTACTTCGTCCTTTCCAATTTGGATATCTTTTATTTCTTTTTCTCTTTTGATTGCACTGGCTAGGACTTCAAGTATAATATTGTGTGAAAGTGGCAAGAACAGACATCCTAACCTTGTTCCTGATCTTAGGGGGCAAATGTTCAGTCCTTCATCGTGAAGTCTAATGCTAGCTGTAGGTTTTTCATGGGTGCTCTATCTCCAGTTGAGGAAGTTCCTTTCTATTCCTATAGTTTCATAGCTTTGGTTTTTTATGATTCCTTTTCAAAAGTGGGCAAATGGGGACCCTGAAAAGTTAGGCAAACCTTCCTTGCAGTTGTAGATAACCAGTATAGAGTGCAGAGAACCAATGACAAGTACAGATTCTGGACTGTACAGTTTCAAATCCCAGTTTTGCCTCTCACCAGCTGTGGGATTTGGGGCAAAATGACTGGCCTCTTTGTGCTTTGATTTCTTCACCCATAAAATGGGGATTCCTACCTCATAGGGTTGTTATTAGGATAAAAATGTCTACATATTTATTTATTTATTTATTTATTTTTCCTTTTTGTCTTTTTTCGTGTCCGGCAACGGATCGCATCCCTCAGTGTCGTGCCCGTACCGGACCGGGACCGGCAACGGGATCGCAACCCTCGGCGTCGCGCCCGCACCTCGCTCAGCCAGTGAGCGGGAACCGGTCTGTATGTGGGATCCGAACCCTCGGTGGGAGTGCCACCGCGCTCCCAAGCGGCGCACTGTAGCAGTGTGCCACCGGGCCGGCCCCAAAATGTCTACATATTTATAATGAGCCTAGAACAGTGTCTGGCAAATAATAAATGCTATATAAATTCTTTTTCTTATGTTCATTTAAAATCATGGAAGGCAACTAGATTCTGCTCCAGGATGCGAGACTATCATACTGGCTTCCATGTGGGTTTTGTCCCGTTTTTTCCCCAAGCCCTGCTGCTCTGGGTGGCACAGCTAGAATTTCAGACTGTGGAATTATCATCTAGTCCTACCTCCAGCCCAAGGCAGGAATCCCTTCCTCCGTGTCACACCTGACAGCTGCTGGCTGCCGTTGACCAAAAATTTTTCAGGCTGGCTGCACGTTCAGGAAGCCTGAGTCTCTCAACTAGGGCAGGCTGGTGGTGTCTGGCCGTGAGGTGACAGTGAGGTTTCCCAGGGGTTGAGAAGTTAAGTTTCTGTGCTCCGTGTATGTCTTGCTAGTTCTTCAGTTGCTTCCACCGTGATGCCTCTGCTGGAATAAACTCCAATGAGCGAGTGTCCTGAGAACTGGCAGCTCTATCTTGCTGCTGGGGAACCAAATTAGGGGAAAGGAAAGGCTTCTCTGTCTTAGAAACAGCCCGAAGCCTGAGTCAACACCTGCATAAACTCTGGGCCAGAGGGGAATTAGGTTCCATCCTTCCATGGCATCATTTAAAAAATTAGAAAGGATTCAACAGTGTCTGATTCCCAGGAATTCTTGGCTCGAAGATCTCTTGGTTTCAGATTTAAAGAGTCTTTTCCTGGTTGAGTAGCAGGTTGCTTTGCTCACTTCACAGTATTGTTACATAAACAAGCAAGAGATCTGCTTGCTACAAGCAAAGCCAAAATTTCCGTCTGAATTTTAGCTAGTCAGGATATAAGGACCCATTCGGGTTTGGGATTTTCAAATCTCCTGAGCCCTGCAGCTGTGTTTTCTCTCTTTCCACTAAATGCTGTAGTTTAAGATTTAGGGAACTATGCAAAACACGTGCAGTGCCAGAGCTTAAGTGGGGTACGATCCCCTTCCCTGTAAGGCAGGCTGATGTCCCCTCCCCCCCCTTTTTTGCTGATGGGGGTAGAGGAAGGCTCTCGAAAATGATCCAGTCTACAAGACCCTGAGCAAAGGGGTTTCAGACACTGCTCAAGCTTTCTTCGTTTCACTATGCTTTTTCTTAAAACAACTTTGAGAATTAAGTGCACAAATATGCGAATGTCCCATTTGCTGTGTGCATTTATACATAGGTATAAATGCAAGGTAAAGGTGTGTTTATACATCTAGCGATTGCACTGCAAAACCATCCGCAGCTCACCGCCCAACCAGCCTTCCAACGACTACCGTGATGCACTTCAAATCTGCAACTTTGCAACGAGGTGCCCACAACGTACCTCCTTTGAATCTGCATATTTCTGTACAAGAACACAAACCGTTTATATAGGATGTTAGCCCGTTTTCCGTACTCAAATGGTCCCCCTAATTTGTTTTGTTTAAAACGCACACTCCAAACGTTATTAAAAGCATTTTTCAAAAATAATTTCATAAAGCTAGACACCGGCAAGCCTTGATGCAGGGGTGGAAAATGAATCGTCTATCTTTAAACCGCATTGGTTAAAAGGCTTTTTTTGTTGTTGTTAGCTAACAATGGAAACTTTTTTTAAAAAAAAGTGTTTCCCTTCCTCGGTCTTGCCAAGCAATAGAAAAAAAGAAAAACTTGTTCCGCTGAGTCCAACCCCAGACAGGCTCACAACTTCCTTCCTGCTCTCCTCCCCAAGCCCCCGCCTTGCTCCCTCCTCCCCTCCCCCTCCCCCAACTTTTTTTTTTTTTTTTTTTTTTTTTTTTTTTGTCGTACATTGAACAAACACCGAAGAAGCCCGGAGCAGACACCGACAGGGTAGTATCTCCACGGCCGAGAAAGGCGTGCAGGGCCGGCTTGGGGTGACCACCGCCGGGATCGCCGGTCCCCTGAGCCGAGGCGCTTTCCCCTCTTTTCCGCACTCCCCTTCCCCTTTTGTGTCTTCCATAGCTTATTGCGGAAATCATTTCTGAGCATTTTTACTGGTAAAGCCATCTCGTCCCGACGAGGTCTGCGTCTCCGGGCATGTAGTCTGCACAGGACCCGGCGATCGGAGAAACTGCAGGTAAGTTTGGTGGCTTTGGATTCGCTCCGCACCCTCTTTCCCTTCCCTCTGCTCTGGAGCTGATCTGAGCTCCGGGTGCTGCAGCATTGCAGAGGGGTGGGCAGGGGACAGGAGCAGGGGGTCTGATCTCAGAGGCTGGCGTGGAGCGGCGTTTCTCCAGCCCGCCTTCCGGGCGGCTCGCTCCGCGGCTCCTCCCCAGGCGCGCTGCAGGCGTCCCCGGGCTGGGCCGAGGCTGCCCGGGATGCGGAGGAGCCCTGCACTCGGGGACGTAGAGCGCCGGCCCCGGGAGGTTGGCTTTGGGCACCCGGGCTGCAGCCACGCGTGGCCCGGAGTTCCTCCGAGGGGGTGCGGGTCCCGGAGTCCGGGGGGCAGCCGCGTCCTCGGTAACGGGGCTCGCAGAGGGTGGGACTCGAAGCGCGCGCGCGCACGCACACACACACACACACACACACACACACACGCGCACACACACACACTGAGCACACAGACATACACACACGCGCGCACACACGCGTGCACACACACACACACTGAGCACACACACACACACTGAGCACACAGACATACACACACGCGCGCACACACACACTGAGCACACACACACGCGAGCACACACACACTGAGCACACACACACACGCGCACACACGCGTGCACACACACACTGAGCACACATACACACACGCGCGCACACACTGAGCACACACATACACACGCGAGCACACACGCGAGCACACATACACACGCGCGCGCACTCACACACACTGAGCACACACACACGCACACACACACACCCTCCGAGGGGGGCGACGGCAGGGGGACAGCGACACACACCCTCACACACACACACACACACACCCTCAGAGGAGGACGAAGGCAGGGGCCAGCGAAGATTGGTTCCGGTACAAGGGACGTGCAGAACCTCGGCACACACAAAACACACTTGTTAGGGACAGACGACCGGGCCAGTGCTGGAAAGTGCTCCGGCTGCGGCCCCGGCCTGCCTAGGCCGACAGACACAGCCCCAAGGCCAGGGTCAGGAAGGTAAACGGCGGGCACCCAGGCGCCCTCCCGGATCCGGCGCTGGCAGCGGTTTGGGGAGAGTTGGTCTCTGATGTCCCGAGAGGGTGCAGCAGGGAGACCCCGACGTCCAGGGCAGGGGCTGCCCGGTTCCCCTCCGTAGCTAGTGTTTGCTCAGGCCGGGAAGCCCCGGAGCCGGTGGCTCACTTAGGAAGCCAGTTCTTGCACATCGTCCCTGCCGTCCGCGTGGCTCCGGAGACTACTCTCAGACTTTAGAATCTGAAACGACCCCAAAGCGCATCACAGCCTGGGTCGGGGGGCAGGGGGCGGATGGAGCGCCCCGGGGGAACACACACACACCCACGGCTGGGGCAGCGGGCACGTGGGTCGGGGAGACGTGCCACGACCCCTGGCCGGGACACATCTGGGCTCCGCGGGTGGGCGCCCCCTCCCTGCGCCCCCCGGGGTCCTGACTTTTCTCCTTGTGTCTCCGCAGGGGCACGGCGGTGGATGGAGCTGTGGGCGGGGGCTGAGCCCGCGGTCGTGCCCCCCGCCCGTCGCCCGGGTCATGCCGCCCCATCCGCGCGCCGAGCCA